ACATCATTCCGACCTCCGCTTGTCTTCACATCATCATCTCCTCTGTGTATATGTGGTCTCCTGTGTGTATCAGATTTTCCTCTACTGTTGTAAGAACACTTGTGATTGCATTTAGGTCCCATCCGGATACCCAAGATAATCTCTGCATCTCAAGAGCCTTAACTTAATCACACCTGTAAAGACCCTTTTTTCTTATAAAGTAACATTTACAGGTTCCAGGGATTAGGGCCTGATATGTTTGCGTGGTCATTATTCAGCCTACTACAGGGGTGTTCTTGGTTCCCTTCCAGGGATGGGAAGGGAACTCATTAAGTGCTCTCCTACTGGCCAGAGTCCTGTAATATTTGAGTCTGCCCAGTATCCCTATTATTGCAAGATTTGTTATCCCATTTCACAGATTGGAAAACTGTGGTTTAGGGCAGGTCATCACATGGCTAATAACTGGAGCTGGATGGGAACCTAAATCAGTTGTGTCCCACATTCTGCTTCAACTTTTCTTGGGCCTTTGGACTAGTAGGTTTCAGTCTTGCACCGGGGATCCCCTGGTATCAGAGAGCTTTATCCAGCCCCTTTGTGGAGGCTCAGAGGTGTGCAGGGACTTGCCCTCAGGCTCAATGGTGGGCTTGCAAGATTGAGGGTCTGGACTTTCTCAGGTCAGGGCATCAATGTAGCCTGAACTTCTCTATGGCTGGGCAAGGCCCCACCCCTCACTTCCAGCAGCTCTTCTTCATGGGTCATTTTCTTAAAACAACTCCCAAGCTGGCACTTTTCTTGGAGGTTCTTTTCCAGCTGGGGGATGGGAGAGACTGTGCTAGGAGCTCCTGGGACTGTCTGAACTCTTTCTGGAAGCAAGCACCAGGATCTTCTTGTTTTCTCTTCCCAAAAGGAGAGAGAGGAGGGGTTGCAGCCAGAGCCCAGGCTCTTAAGGCTGTAGGTGCCAAAGCTAGTGGGTGGCTCGTGGCCTGGCTTCCAGATCCAGTCCCAGATGCCACTCTGGCTGCCCCAGGACCAAAGCCCAGCTTGTACAAAGGGTATGCTTAGGCCTCCTTCACTTTTAGGGACAAACCAGGATTTTCCCAGGTTGGCCTGCCAGGTATGTCTCCATGCTGTGGCTCATGAGGCCTCCCTTGTCACCTCTACACAAGGCCTTGCTGGTGCCCAAACCCTAGCTCTTTTCTTTCTTTGTAAAATGAGGATAACGCTTTCTTCCATTTGGGCTGTGGTGAGAATTAAATGAGGTCACCTTTTGCATTTGGCACCTGGCATGGGGCAGGCATTCGGCTAATATGAGTCCATCTTTTTTCCTGGCCTTGCCCTGCTTACCTTCCTAGTCCTACCCAGGACTTGAGCTCTGCTGAACTCATTGCTGGCCCCTGTCATCCCTGGTGCTTTGTGGCAGAAGTGATTTCTTATCCAGGTCACAAACTTTTCTGGAGGTCCTGGTGTTTTAATCCTTTGCTCAGGTGGCACCTCCTCACAGGTGCCAGTCTTCATGACTGGCCAGGTCCCTTCCTCTGTGTTTCCCAGCACCTCCTGTGTTCATCTTTCACAGCCCTTCTCACACTTGTGTGTAGTCATTGCCTGTTTCCCCACCCCACTAGCAGTTTGTGACCTTATCGAGGATAGAGAGCAAGTCTGATTCATTTCTCTGGCCTCATTGCCAGCCCAGGGTCTGACTTAGTAGCTGCCTGGTAAACCTTTGTTTGATGAAAAAGTAGGAGCTCTCTTATCCTCTTTTATCACCTTTCCTTTCTTGATTTCTTTCTCTCTACACTTGAGGGCAGGAGGTCGCTGTGTGCCCTTTTTTAGAACTGCATACTTCTGTTCAGTCTGAGGCTGTAGCCATAGTTGCGGCTTCCCTGCTGGAGATCCCTGGCTAGGACAGGTGCCATGGTGCTGGGAGGTGGTTGACCCTGTGGGGCAGGGATGGACTTGGGAGAACTGGCTGGAGTGTGCTTGTCCACAGCCTTTGGGGCAGGAGGAGCACCTGTACTGCTGGAATGTTGTGTACAAACAAGAGTCCTTGTGCTGCCCATGGAAGCTCATTAAGGGCTTCCCAGTACCTTTGTCATCTCTGGAAAGCCAGCCATACCTTCCCCGGGTGTGGGCCCTGGTGGTGGTGCTGCTGCGTAGTCCCTTGTCATCCCCTCTTCAGCCCCTCCTGTCCAGCCACCTGGGGTCTTCAACCCCTCTCTGTGCTGGTCTCATCCCTTCTGTGACTGGTGACCATTCTCCAGTATATGGTATGTTGTTTGCAATGCCTTTTTCTGGTCCTGAATCTCCTCTGAGCCTCTTGACAGCCCTGTCAGGTAGGTCACATATCCCCTGTTTGATAGGAAACTAAGGCTTGGAGAGTTCACTTAGCTCACCCAAATTCATGCGGCAAGTGAGTGACAGAGCTGGGGTTGGAACCCAGAGCTTTTGACCTGCAAACCTTGTGCTTCCTACTTTACCAGGAGTTTATCTCACCTGAGCTTTGGAAAAATAACCTGCAGAGAGGTGATCCCCTTTGGTTGGCATTAGCCTGGATCCTATAAATCCCTGGGCAGGGTGGTGTCCCCAAGGAGCAGTCTTGGGATTTCTGGTCCCTAGCCCTGATGCTGGATCAGGCTGGCTTCTTCTGGTGGCCAGCAGAGGGCGTGAGGGGCCTGGGAAAGGTCTGCTAATTCTGGTTTGTTTTGTTTTGAAATGGAAATATGTTTTAAGTGACACATGGACATTACGTGTTTTTTTATTTTTTTATTGGGAAACAGCCATGATCATTTGGTTACACACTGCTTTCATGCTACAAATGGCATGGTTTACTCTTTTAAGGAGGGTGCAGCTCACAGTGGCCCATGCGGGGATCTAACCAGAAACCTTGGTGCTATCAGCACGATGCTCTCACTAACTGAACTAACCGGTCACCCCCTGGACATTATGCTTTTAATAGGCTTTATTTTTTAATAGACTATTTTTTAGAGCAGTTTTAGATTCACAGCAAAATTGAGCAGAAGGTACAGGAAGTTCCCATATACCCCCTGCCCCCACACATGCATAGCCTCCCCCATTACCAACATCCCTCACCAAAGAGATGCATTTGTTAAAATTGATGAACCTACATTGACACAGCACAATCACCCAAAGTCCATAGTTTACATTGGTGTTCACTCTTGGTGTTCTACATTCTGTGGGTTTGAACCAGTACATGATGACGTGTATCTGCCATTATATTACCATACAGAGTCTTTTCACTGCACCCAAAATCCTCTGTGTTCTGTCTACGCATCTCTACATTATTTTTGAAAATACACATTTGTACAGGTTCACTTAACTCAAACCTTTGGGGCCAGATGTGCTTTGGAATTTAGAAAAATCACCCTGTGTGTACGAGGTTGGACAATTAATTTTGTGAACTCATTCTAGAAAAAGTGCTACATACCTCATTGCTGAATATCACTACAATCACCTTCAAAGTGCTCTCCTTGGGAAGTTATGCACCAATGCCAATACCTAGTCCACCCCTCAAAGCAATATTGGAACTCTTTTTCTGGAATGGCCATCAGAGCTGTCATTGTATTACCCTTGATGTCCTGAATGTCATCAAAATGTCTTCCTTTTAATATTTCCTTTATCTTCTGGTAAAGAAAGAAGTCATTGGGGGCCAGATCAGGTGAGTAGGGAGGGTGTTCCAATACAGTTGTTTGTTTACTGGCTAAAAACTCCCTCATAGATGGTGCCATGTGAGCTGGTGCATTGTTGTGATGCAAGAGCCATGAATTGTTGGCGAAAAGTTCAGGTCATCTAACTTTTTCACTCAGCCTCTTCAGCACTTCCAAATAGTAAACTTGGCTAACTGTTTGTCCAGTTGGTATAAATTCATAATGAATAACCCCTGTGATATTAGAAAAGGTTAGCAACATCGTTGCAACAAGTTTGCTAACTTAATCGTCAGACTTCACATGCTGTGTGTTCTGTAACACCCCCAGTGGAGTCTACGGCAGCACCTCATAATCAAACACCCCAATGTGTCTGAAGGGAAATATTTGAATGTTCAACTTCAAGTGGGATAAATAGGTTCTAATCAGCTCAGGTCAGGTTATGATGCCAAATGAGATAGATAAAGACTTTTGGTTTTCAAAGATTTTTGAGTTTTGGAATTTTGGACAAGGGATTGTATACCTCTTACAAAGAAGGAGGTGAAGTAAAATCACCTGTAACCAACACTTAGGGATAATATTTTGTTGTATAGCCTTCCCATCTTTGTGTACATGGGTGTTTGTTTACATATGCATATACATATATTTGTTAACATGTTTTCAGTCACAAGCAAGGTCATATTTTGCTACATTTTGCTTTATACAATGTATTTTGC